ATTCTTCCCTGTCTACACTGGCCCTTTTGCGCAAGTATTCTTGCGCGAGAGGGCTTTTTCCCGAGCGGGAGCATAAAAGTATTTGCGCAAGAAGCACTGATTTTGTACATTCAAAGCGGCCAGTATAGAGAGCTGCACTTGCTTTTGCACAAAATCTTGCCAATCTAGACGCACCGATAGTGTGAGAGTAACAGAGATTTGCATTGCCAAGCTCCCTTCATCCCCTTCTCTCTGGGCAGAAGATAGGGTACAGAGGATTTGCTGAAGCATGGGTGGTCAGTATTGTCTAGCAGCATTACTAACTCTGCCATTGCTTACTGGTCTCTTAGCAGACATTTATTAGAGCCAAATTACAGCACAGAACATTGAGAGCCAGGTAGCTGTAAACAAACTTTAAACATAAGTCGACATCCAATTAACTAAAATCATGCTGGACCACAGATGTTGCTGGACCACAGTGCTGGAGGCTAAGGGAAGAGTCCCCAAAATGGAAGCATCCTGGGCCCAATTTTTGAGTTTGTCAGATGCAGTATATTCCAGAGCTTTATTATTTAGGATCATAGTCTAAATTCAATCAGGATTTAGGAAAATCACACTGCTCAACAGGCCCTTTGGTGTGATGGTCTTCATTTTTTTTTCTTAGTGGGTAACATCCAACTAACCAAATGTTGCCTTACTAAAGACAAACCCTAAACATTTTGTCAGGACTGAAAGCCTCTTTTATTTTACTAGGAAAGTGTCCCAAGGATTAGTCATGGTTGAGCTAAACAGACCAAATAAGGTACTGGGAACTGAAAAGTAGCTGTTGGTCATGTAGACCTTAAGCTTCAGCTGCAAGTTTTCACTGCGGTATAAATGTTATCGATCACTTTAAAAGAACACTTCAAATATCTTATTGCTGTGATGAATAATGGAAAATTCAAATGGAAAGTGTTTAAAAAAAATCTAATTCATTTTCACCATTCATGCTGTTTATGTTGTAATTTGCGAGCATGGACACTGACATTACACTGGTTAGCTGTGTGTCATTTCCCTTTGCTAGTTCTCATGCACTAGTTTAATACTACAAAGTCTGGGGAATATGGAGATCTAAACAAAAGACTATTTTAAGTGGAACTAAAAAAACCTGAAACATTTCCGTGGTATTTCACCAGTGATCATCCATGCTCTTTGTTCTAAAGGACATGCTTTTGCTTGAAAGCAGCCCCACTCTCACCCCCAAATGTGCTGCAGAACGAGATGTCTATACCTAAATGTCATTTAGCACATGATTCAGAACCTGAAGGTGACATGCACTATGCAGAGCATTCCTACTCTTTATTTTGAGAACCAGCCAATGAAGGCCCAACATTTGGAGGATTTTTAAAAGGATTTACAAAATCTATAAACTTCTAAAATTTTCAATTTTTGAACAAAGAAGAAAAGTGAAAACAGTGAGTCTGAGCTGCAATGAACTGAGAACAAAATGGCTTCTGAATTTAGTGCAAGGAGAGCACTGAAATAAAAATGTGCATTTCACAGAAAACAAAGCCCAGTTACCTCACTTCACTATCCCCATATCACTAGTCTCAGGTTCAGAGGTGTTAACATTTACTTCAGTTATAACTATTGCAAGCCCCTCATGCAGCACTAAGGACTAATCCTGCAAGATTCTGACAAATATCAACTCCTACTGAAGTCAATGGGATTTGAGGGCACTCAGCACCTTGTAGGAGCAAATCTTACTGCTGCTAGTGAAAATCTCATCTACTTGCAACAGTTTCAGCTGTGTATAGTCAGGAAACAGTAGCATTGCTAAGTGACTGAAGGGACAAGAGGAGATAAGAAAAGGATAGAGAAAGGAAAAGATACTAGATCTTTCAATTCTTATCTTTCAGCACCCACAGTACACACATTGAAATCCTAAGCCTGCAAACCATCATTCAGGGTCTGACCCCACCACCCTGGCTCACATTCAGCAAGACCTTATAGCAAAAGTATCCCATTCATTTCAAAGGGTCTATTTACAGTGAGGTATTAGGGGACATCAGGAAACCAAACCAAATCCTCACTCCTGTAAGCATTGCAACCTCACTGATTTAGAGAAATAGGATTACCCTAGTATACTCTCCCCAGCTATCTGTTAAGGATTCTTTTACCCTTGGAAATACACACTAGCCTATCAGTAGAAACCTTTAATGAGAGCCCTTCCTTTTTTTGGGAACAAAACCAAGTTATTTCTTTCCTAAGTGTTCTGTGACTTTGCTTTTATTCTGAAGTCAACTCTGCCTTCATTTGCAATCAAAAAAGAGCAAAGTTTACTAGAGCTATAGCTATGGCCGTAGCATCTATTAACTCCAGTCTGTTGTTGATTGCTGCAGCCATTTCATTAATAACTAAGATTTAAACATCAAGGAGATTCATGGTGAGCTATGAAGTAAATTGTGTAGATGTCCCTTCATTCCATCCTTTCTTCACCTCATTTTGAACTTTTGAGAGAGAAGCAGTTCAAGGCCCTTTCCAGATGCTAGGTGCTGTAACTATTACAAGAGTAACTGAAGGAAGGAAAAAACAATCCTGCATGCGGTAGCACAACACAACTTGTCACTGAAAGGATCTGGCCTGTTGAGAAGTTCATGGTCTAAAAATTGTTTTAGGGAAGTTCCATGGTGTATGTTCTACAGAAGGTCAGACCAGATGATCATAGTGGTCCCTTCTGGTCTTAGAATCTGTAAGTAGCATTCTATTTGAGGTCAATAATATGATTCAATGTCACAGCTTTTCTATATAATAACTATAATTTTGAATAAAATCACCATAGGATCAGGATATTTGTGAGAGGAAGGAGTGGGACTTCATGCTGATGTGCTAAAAGGATTTGCTAACTTCCCCCTTGCCATGCACCCCAAGAACTTGTAATTTAAAAAGCAGTATTTGTCTTCAATCAACTCCCCAGTAAGATACATTTCTGAGTAATGTGGCTCGGGGTTTTTTTGGTTTGCTTTTAAAACGAAAACAAGCTTGAATATGCACAAAACAGAAGTGTGCAGGGAGCCACATGACAGTTTATTTGCTAAGCAGCATAATCAATGTTTGGGATCTTTCCCCTCTTCCAAATAAAAGTGTATTTGCCTTCCCCCAAAACTGTACTTGTATGAAAACCAGAAACTGGTAACATTAGATGCAGTTTGAAGATGGTTATAAGATAGGCTGTAATATTTATATAACATGTTTCACGATCAAAGGCTCTGCAGTTGGAGATGCCATAAAACAAGGTTTTCAAATACAGCCGTAAGTATTTTTCCAGAAAAAAGCCACAGCAATGACATAATGCTTAGTGCATAGAATTTTTTGGGATGGGGGGAGGTAGGCAAGAAGGGGTGTAAGGAAATAGAAGAAGCAGATTAGTTCTTGCATTATTTTCCAGGGCTTCTCAAGGGAGAAACAAACTTCAAACATGCAGCAAGAACTTCTACCCTCCAGTGATTGGTGCTGGGTAATACAGTAATTTGTTAATGTTTCTACCATTTTACATAATCTAAGACCCCTATTCCCTTCTGTGCAAGCTTTTCCCAAGTATGGGAGTGCAAACTCTTTACAGCAATAGATCCTTCATAATCTTCATGGATGGCCAGAAAACTTTGAGAATCAAGGGTCTTCTAATGCAAAGGATCCTTTTATCCACATTTTTACTGAGACCTCGCTGGCCCCTGGCCACTATGACTTCAACAAATATGTTGCCATGTATGCTCTGACTCACCGCCTTTGGGCACAGACCACCTTACAGAGGCTGATCTTTCAAATTTCCAGGTCCTGTAATTACTCAGCTTTGACGGAGACTGGAAATGAGGCTGGTTATGGGAAATGAGAGCATGGAAACATCAGAGCCTAGGTCTGCCATGAATAAAACTGTAAAATATTCTTCATTCTACATTATTCTGCTGGGAGGGAAGTCAACATTTGCATTGACCGGTATACATATGCAAAGTGATTTTTGTAACATGTTTACTGAATTTTACAGAGCATTCATCCTCAATATAAAACAAAGCTCCCTGTGTCCCTGCCCACAGCCTTTATTTCATTCTTGAGTAGGTAGAATGACTTGTTTTAAAAGGTCATACTATTTGTTGCATGATCTATAGTACAATTCCACTGCAAATCAGAAATGTGCTTTGCGAGGGATGTTACATTTAGATCAATAGACTAATCAAATAGTCAATGCAATTTGCATTGAGTATTCAATTAGTCGATAAGAGCAACCCTGCCTTTGAAGTGTAACAAAGGCAAAAGCGCTGTGAAGAGCACGGGCCAGCAGGTGACTAAAGCCGTCCCCTGCTGGCCCTATGCTCCCTGTGGTGTTTCAAAGCGGCAGTGCAGGATGGAGCCCAGGGTCTGGCCCCAGGCCCTACAAGGCACTGCCACTTTGAAGCATCCTCTCCTCTTCCCTTACCCCTTGCTGCCTCTTTCTGATAGAGGTGGAGAGGGGGAGAGTGACTAGTCCACTAGTGGGTCAACTGTCTGATAAGCATTTGCGTATCGGATAGTCAACTAGTCATGCACATCCCTATGTTTTACTGCAGTGCTTCATGAATGTGAACAAAATCTGAAGTCATGGATCTCTGTCTTAGTGGAAAATGTTTAATGTGGCAGCGGGGGCTATATGGTTCTACGGAGTAGAGGCCTTACTTCTGGAACTCTGTGCTAAATGGCACACCCTGTACTTCTCAACACTAGAAAATTTTCCAGTGGTGGACAATGGGTGAAGCTGAACCAGGGCTGAAAATTCAATCTTTGCACATGCAGACTGGACCAAATGATGTTCAGCATCATTTTAGAAATAGTGGTTAAGCCTTAATATTACGTTGAACACACCCATTTCCCTTGTCTGAAAACCTGATGAACAACTATACCCAAGACTAGAGGCTTTCCTCCCAATGAGTCAACACATTTAGTTAACCAATGTTGAAATGGTTTAAGCCTGCTGTTTGATGTTACTAGTCAAGGTCCTGCCTTTCCTGATCAACCTTATAATAATGACATATTTAATGAAAAATAAAACCCCAACAAACACAGCAGAACAAAGTGAAGACAGAGAAAAGGAGGTATACATAAGGGGGATAGTCACTGCATCTGGATTCTTCACCAAAACTTCAAAACCAATGAACACTCTGGTCAAAAGATGCTCATCTCCTTTTTCTTACCAGTTATATAACCAAACCCACAGATTTTTGTAGCCTCATGTTTATAATACAAAATAATTTTAGTGTTAGGAAATACAACCTCTCTAACAAACTATATAAAAGTGCAGTAGAAAAAAAAAAGGATTTTCCAAAACAGGGAAATGAACATAAATTAAAGAAATGGCTTAATGGAAATCTGGTATAAATGTCTAGCCCCAAAGCTGATAGGAGAAAGAAGGGAAAATAGTTCAAAGTGTCAACATATAGATTATAAAAACTTGTTATTGTAGCTTCCTGTTAAACCACATACACAGAAAAATCTCCACAACATTTTTGTTAAAAGGTTTTTGGGGGGATAGTGATAGCTTACAAAATATAAAATCACTGTGTGAGGATATTGTTAGTCATTAAACATGTTACATTTGTGCTAGAACACCATCTTCCACCAAATACAGCAAAAATAGTAGGATAAACATTTAAATACAAAGGATAAATATATTTAAATCAAAAAGAAAATACATTACTTTGAATACACAGGGTCAAGGAAATCAAAAGTGAAAAAACACAAGAATCATAGTCCATCGACATCTTGTATTGGAATGGCAAAGTATTTACACATTCCACCCAATGACCTCATACATCAGTGCCCTTAACTGCCTGGCTTCATATGTAACTGTGTTCTTCCCACTGTGCATCCTCTCTTCTTCAAGTGGTTGCTCTATAACAGCAGGGATGTTTCTGCCATATAGTTCACACTGCTCTAGAAAATGCACACACTCTGAAATAACACTGTCACGTAGCATGATCATGTGCTTGGACATGTTCTCCAGCAAGGACAGGAAACATCTTTTAGCATAATACCAAGTATCTGTGCCTAACTTTTTGTTATAAGGCTCCAAACTTTTAATTACCCTTGAGATGCCAAAGTCATAGTTTCCTTTGGCACAGTAGAGTGTGCCAATCACTAAGTTAACAATGCAAAGATGGTAGATCTTTTTTTCAGGGTCATCATAAGAGAGCTGCTCTTCTTCCTTCTCAATCTTCCTCATCAGCTCCTCTGCCTCTTCATTCTGACTGGTCATGATGTAGGAAACACAAAGGTTGGCCAGCACAATGGCACTGACTTGCAAGATGTTATCATAGTGCTTCTTCACAATGGGCTCATAGAAGCCAATGGCCTCTTTGTACTTGTTCTCCTGCATGAAGAGCACATGAGCCACATTCAGCTTCCACACTTCGTGTTCATTGCAGAACTCTACTGACTTGCGAAAGATCTTCTCCACCATAGTGTAATTCTCCATGTCCCAATAGATCTTGGCCTGGGCCATCAAGACAGGCACATATTTCTCCAGAGTCTCATCATATTCATTAACTGCCTTTTTGACAGCCTCATCATCCCGGTTTTGCCTAGCTTCCTGCACTTGTTTAGTGAGCTTTCTCAGCTGGTCAGTCATTGTCCCTGCAAGTTCATCTAGCTTGTGGAAGGCCTCCTCAGGAGCAGTTTGACATGTAATCATGGCATCCAGGAAGTTGTAAAGGTAAGGTGAAAGCAGCTTGTAGGTCAGATGGGCATTCTCTGCCAACACATCAGCAGCAAGGTCATAATATTGATGTTTACAGTACAATAGCAGCAAGTTCCCAAAAGTCTCTGGTGGGCAGGGGTTCTGTTGCAGAAGGAACTGCAGTTTCTCAAACCCTTCAGTGGGCCGGCTGTCCATGTTCATCAGCGCTTGGTTGTGCAGGGTGACAGGGTCTAGCTCTTCCTCAGCCCTTGGTGGCATGTCTGTAAGTGCTTCCTGGGCTGCTTCCAGGTTGCGTAGCTGGTATTCTATGGCAGCTTTGAGGTTGAAGGCCTCCACCAGAGCAGTGCGGTGCAGGAGCATGGTGTTGCCCACACTGCGGACATCAATGCCCTCAGTGGTCATGCCCACACTGAGCTCAGGGTGCTGGTGGATGCCACGTTCAATAATGTCAGAGATGTGTTTGAGGGCAGGTGCATACTGCTTGGCTGCATAGCAGCACAATGCCATGTTGTATGACAGTTCAGGAGAGTAACCCAGCACCTGCATGGCACCTGCAAATTTGCCGCAAGCCTCTTCGTGCCGCCCTTCCCGGTACAATAGGCAGCCCAGGTTGACCTCCGCATCTGGCAGCTCTGAGGCATCTTCCGTGGCCCCAGGGCTGCTCTCCGCAGCAGCAGCCACTACCTGCTCCACCAGGCTCTTGGCTGCAGCGAGGTCACCTTGGGCGTAATGGGCAGCAGCCTGCAGGCGAAGGGCACGTCCCTGGTAAGCGGGCACATCGAGCAAGGGGCTGGCGACCCGCAGGGCCTCGGCATAGAGCCCGGCCTTGTAGAGGGACTGGGCCTGATAGAGCCGGTACTCGTCCAGCTCAGGGTGCAGCGCCCCCAGCTGCTCGTAGCACTCGGCCGCCGCCGCGAAGTCCTGCAGCTGGTAGTAGCAGTAGCCAAGCAGCGAGAGGCCGGCCCGGGAGCGGCAGCTGTTCTGGAGCTCGCTGCCCAGGATCCCCACCGCCTCCGCGAACCGCCCAGCCCGGATCAGCCCGTAAATGGCCGCTGTGAATTCCCCGTCCGGGATCGGAGCAGCCCCGGCCATGGTCGCAGCTACCAGGCTCAGCGCGTCCCTGGGCCGCCGCTACCACGGCAACCGCCCCGCCGGAAACGGAAGTACCCGCGAGTGACAGCGAGACCACGTCTCCCCGCTGCCATGGTAACAACCCAGGTGGAAACGGAAATGCTCGGAGCTTAGCACTACCGGAGTGGTGCTGCCGTCTGTTGTACCTATCACGGCGGCTGTTCTGTCGGACGCGGAAATGACGTGCTCTTGCCGCACACTGAGACGGAACCAACAGGTTCCGTGGGGGCACCCTCCGGCGGGGCCGCACTGCATGCTGGGAAGCGTAGTCTCTACGGGGTGGGGGCCGCTCCGCTAGTAGGGCTTGGCCCCACCCCGTTAGCCTGCATCTGGCGGACGCCCCCTCCCACGAGGGGTGGGGCGCTCTCCTCGCAGTATCCCCACGGCTAGAGGAGTCACGTGTCACTCGGAGGCGGCGCTTGCGGGCCTGGCGCGCAGCAGCGAACGCGCGTCCCAACGGCCAGGCTCGCTGGGTAACGGTTACGGTCACCTATTGCGGTAGCCGGGAAGCCGTCCAGTGCCCCCTTCCTCCACTAGGGATCGAAGCTGAGACCCCCGCGCTGACACCACCGGCCCGGCCGCGGGGTTTGTTAGGCGGTGGCGTTTGCTGCCTAGAATGCCCCGGGAGGGCAACAGGCCACCGCTAGGAACCCAGTTCTGTGTGGTTTTCCAAAAGTGGGGCTGTTATCCCCATTGTATAGATGGGGAGACTGAGGTACATGGGTCAACAGCCTGATTGCCGCGGGTTTGGTTTCTGCAAGACTGGGCAGCTGGGGCAAGCGGATTGCGATCTACGGATACAACGCCTATTGAGCTCATTCTAATGCTTTAGCTGTGCAGCCTTTTATTGAGCAAAAATAGCAAATGCCCCATGGTGTGGCTGAAATACAACTGTTCAGTGGACTAATAGTGTAATAACAGCCACAGATCTATACCGTTAATTAACCTCTCAGTTAAGAGACTCACAAACCTAAGTGGTTGCCTTGGGTTTCATAGTTAGATTGTAACCATAACTTTATAAACCTTTTCTTCTGTTGGCATCTACAACTTACATTTTCATTGTACGCTAAATGAAGCACAGTATGGCTCATAAAGGACTTCTGAACAAATACTAAGCCATCTTATATTACAAAAATTAGTTCTACTTGCCTGCAGACATTGGTATATAAAAACAGAAGATAATGGATTTAAGATTTTAAAAATTAAACTTGTCACACAATTAACTACTATCATTTATAGTATTTTGGGAGTGGGGTGGAGGGAAGAACTCCACTATATGAACTTACATAAATAACCTACTATCATGCTAGGTCTTATTTTGTGATATATCAAAATTTTTGTTGCAAAAAGGTTAAATTACTTCCTTCTGCTATCACTAATCATATATTTTTGTTACAATATGCCAGATATAGCCATTGATCAGAACAGGAAGGGTGTCTGTACAACACTCTTGTGTATATTTTAGAGAACTGGCTGGAGGAAGAAATGCACACATTTTGCATTGGCATATACTTTTCTGTATAAAGAAAGAATCAGGAAAATAGCAAACTTTGAGGTGAAACTTTATAAATATGGCACCATAGGAAGTAATTTAGGAAACGTACTCTTGAATATGAGACAAACCTTAAAATCCAGACACTATTATCTAGTAAATAAGCCATATAGTCACAATTTTCTGACATTAAAAATTATAAAATTAATAAGAATCTGAACATATTAAGCTATGTAACTGTTTAAATATATATATCATAATGTATTCTAGGTAGAAAATAGATGTATTGAATCTAGATGTACTGAATCTAGTGTAACAGATTTAGGTGTAAATCAACGTTTTAATATCAAACAATGAAAATATATTTTTGATTAGAAAATAAAGAACCAATGGAAAAGTTTATATGAATCAAAGTTTTCCACACTTGATGATTTAAATCACTAATTTAAATTGCCTTGATTTAAATCAGTTTACCCTGACTTTTCCCTTCATCCTCTTCTAGAAAAACCTAGGGATTCTGTTACCTAAATCCACCGATTTCAGAACCATGTGAGACAAGGGGCATCTTATCTTAACAGATGGTCTTTAACTCTGCTTTGCTGCCTGATTCTGCTTCTGGCCTGGTTCTTCTACCTCAAGTTGTGGCTGCCACTGAATTTAAAAGTGAGTCCTGTAGTGTTTTGTACATGGAAGAAGTGCTATAATTTAAAAGCCTTCCACCTGTGAATAGTTCCACTGAAGTCAAGAAGCTAGATACTGTGTTGGGTCACAACAGAGCAAATTGGGTAGAATTCACTGAAATGAAGGTTTGTATTTCAAAAAATGAAATTTCAATCCCTCAAAGATGTTTTCTGTGCTTCTGCCTTTTCTGTGTGAATGAGTAATCAATAGATAGGGCCCTGATAATTAGGCAGGCCTCACTGGAAAAAAAAAAGAAATTACAGGGTACCATTAAAGTGATTTATTAATTTTTAGTGAGACAAATAAAATCAATTTGTCCATTTCAGAAACATGCTTTTTAAAAAAGTTGAATCAGAATTGTTGACATAAACTAAAGCAAAACAATGAGGGAAATGGAATTACAATAGAAAACATAAAGGAAACAGATACAATAAGACCTTTTGCAGTCCCAAGTTATGCATTTTTGTAGTACATAGGCTCCATTTACTGTAGAAAAAAAGTCTGTATGTCTGTTCATGTGTATAATATCTCACACAAACACACATAGACCAATGGACAGTTTACAATAGTATTTTCACTGAGTTGAAAGATGCAGTGTCCAACATGCTCATAAACTAAAAATTAAATCCAAAAGATTCATAATCCAAAACAGAGAAGGAAAGGCAACAAGTAATATACAGCATGTATTCCGGAATTGTCAAAGTCAGTAGGACATCACTGACAATAAGTTCTGAACCCTTTTATTTTAACTAATTTACATTTTATTATGTTCATCGTTTGGTAAAACCAATCCAGATAATTTTAACATGTTAATGAAATCCTCAGATTTTTTGAGCAAGGTCAGTGTAATTTTCTTGCTTTACATTTCCTGACATTCTGAGTATTGGAAGTGCCTTCTGTTAATTTCGTATGGACTGATGTCTTATGTAATCGTGAAATTTTTAAGATAGTCCTAAAATGTTACTAAATATGCAAAATACCTAGCTACACCTACAAATTCCTTAATTTTACTAAAAGCCAACTAATATATTCATTATGTATACTGAAACATTGTCATTTATATTAGCATGAACCAATGAATTGTCTAAATCCTACTAATTATTTTTTATATTAGGCACTGCTGGCTGCAGTTTGGAAAAGTGTCTTGTGAATACTGGTATTGGCTTTGTTGATAATTAGGCATGTTCATAAACATGCTGTGCACTATAAGCAGGAGAGGTTAAGAAGGTTACGAGGCCAGAAAATGCAGCTACTTTTCCAGTGACAATGAATACCTGAGCTAAAATGGAATATATCTATTTATACTATTGTATATCATTTCTTTACTTGATGCGTAGAAATCCTACTAATCAACACATTCAAATTTGTAAATAACCACAGGCCAGGGTATAGATCACGCTAAGTACTGAGGAGCTCCCAGGAGGAATTAAACACCCCTGGCTTCCATTGACTATAACATGAACTCAAGGTGCTCAGCACCTTGTAGACACTGGTCACGAATATCGTACGGACAAAACATGGGCTTTACTCAGGCAAAAGTCCCATCAAGGATTGGGACAAATGACTGAGGAGACTCGTTGCCCAGCATTGATACTGAGCTGAGTGTGGAGTGTCTAAATAGGAAGGCTGGGGTAAACAGTTGAGCAAGGCTATAATAGCCCCCCTTTCTGAGTACCAGTTGATTTTGTTCTCTGCCTCACTTGTTTCCTGCTAAATTCCCGCTGAACCCTACTGATTTCCTGTGTCATAGCAAACAGGTACTACCAGCAGAACTGCCCAACGCTGCATGAGGTAGGGATATACACTCTCCCCCTACCCAAATCTGTTCTTCCCACTGGTGCAGTGTAACCGAGGTGGATCTTTGCACATGTGTAGGGCAGGGAACTGAGTCAGGACTGCAGGATTTGGCCTAGCCTACACTTTACAGTGATCTCGCTTGCATTTTTTCCTAGAATAGGTTTACAAAACAGATTTAAGTTCAGGAAAAGTATTTTTCTCTAGTTGGTACAAAACCAGCTTTTTCCAATCAACCAAAAACTACCAAAACCTTTTTAAATGCAGCTGACACACAGTGGAAAAAGGTCCCTGACATCTTAAGTTTGAAAATCATACTGTGTGGCTGTGTCTAGACTGGCCAGTTTTTCCAGAAAATCAGCCGCTTTTCCGGAAAAACTTGCCAGCTGTCTACACTGGCCGCTTGAATTTCCGCAAAAGCATTGACTTCCTACTGTAAGAAATCAGTGCTTCTTGCGGAAATACTATTCTGCTCCCTTTCAGGCAAAAGTCCCTTTTGCACAAAGCTTTTGCACAAAAGGGCCAGTGTAGGCAGCTCAGATTTGTTTTCTGCAAAAAAGCCCCGATTGTGAAAATGGCGATCGGGGCTTTTTTGCGGAAAAGCGCGTCTAGATTGGCACGGACGCTTTTCCACAAAAAGTGCTTTTGCGGAAAAGCGTCCGTGCCAATCTAGACGCTCTGTTCCGAAAATGCTTTTAACGGAAAAGTTTTTCCGGAAAATCTGGCCAATCTAGACGCAGCCTATATGTTTCTGTACAGAATCTGCCTCTTTTTCTGAAAAAAAAAAAAAAAAAAAAAAAAAGCAAATGTGTTGCTAGGATTTTGAACTAAAACTGAAAACTTTAGGGCTCAGATTTTTTTTTATCTAGACTTTAGTGTTTTTAAGATTGAAATACTAATGGCCAAATTCTGCACTCACTTTCACCAGTACAATACTACTGATTTTAACAAAACTGTATCAGTGTGTTTGAAAGTAGAATTTGATGAGAATCATGTTACATGCTTTCATTTGCTTTCTTGTGGAAGAACAGAATCATTGCATTAGTCAGCAGTTTCTGAATTTTGACTCACAATAGAAAAGATACCACAAGACAGGAGAAATAGATGGAGGCAATTACAAATAGCTGCTTGATTGATGGTTGACATTGTTAAGGCCTTAACTGTATGTCAGGTTGCAGTGCTGTTGAATTCCCCTCACTGCCAGTGGGTGTTGCTATGGGCAACAGTGCACTGAACCCAGTAAAAAGGAAAGGAAATATGGGAAAAAATCTTGGAGGAAGCTATAGGATACGTACTATAAATTGTTACACTTAGCAATATGCATTATCAAAATTCAGGACAGCTACATATAGCTGCCAGTATTACCAAGTCAGTCATGGTGTCTGCTTTTCCAATAAAGCACATATTATATAAATAAGTTTAATACCGGTTTGCA